TACTTTCTGACAGAAAACAGGAGGCCCTGGAGGGGCCGTCATTGCAGAAAGGCTCCTCCTCCTTCCCCGGTGCCCCCACGTGGAAGACACGCCCACTCAGGTGTTGCCTAGCAACGGGTCTTGGAGCTTTGACCCTTAGCCCCGCCCACAATGCAATTCCTGGGCAGTTGGTAGTTTGTCCGAGGGCGCTGGACGCTCTTGGCAGAACCACCAGGTCAGTCCTGTGACCAGAGGTGACGGCCTCCTGGTTCGGTGGCCTGGGCTCTGGCTAAGGCCACTCTCTGGGGCCAGTGGGGGGCAGTGTGGCCTCCTTCACAGGACACATCTCTAACTTCACACAGGAGGTGCTGATGAAAAATTTGAAAAAGAGGAAGAGACACCGGACTCCACGAGGACGGAGGCGGAAGCCACGCAGGCGATTTCAAGAGCAGAGAATGAGAGACTTGAAACTCCAATGATCTAGAACAGGGGTGTGACCATCAGAGCTTCCAGCACACTGCTGCTTCCTGACATCAGCTACACCACGAAGACCTGGAAGAAGTCAGACTGCGGAAAGGAAGACAGACGGAGCTGAAGAGTGACTGCAGAAGCTGCAGCAGCCACCGGGTCAGGAAACCCTGGCGCTGGCCTGGCACCTGCAGCTCCTTCACGGGGCGATGACATCAGCCCTCACGCTTCTGCTGCTTCCAACCCAGACGCTCACAACCCAAAGACGTGGAAATCAAACTTCTGAAAGGCAGGCCGACAGTGCTGAGGAATAAGCTGCAGAAGCTGCGGTCGGCCACTCAGTCTGGAAATTAGGGTGATGGGGGAGGGGACAACAATGTTGCCGCCCAGCTGAACCTTTACCAGAGAAGGCACAGCACGGCCACCCCCGGGGCCGCAGTCCTCGTCAACAGGCTGCAGCGGCCCCGCTGCCGACTCAGATCCCGCCCCCTGCCTGAGCGTCCGCAGCGGTCGTGCGGCGGCTGGGTGGGGCCGGCGGGTCGCACCAGGCGCACAGCAGCGGCGGGAGCCCCGCACACAGCGCCAGAATGTGGCAGACTCAGGGGGAGCGTGGGGGTGCTCAGGATCACCTTTTGTCTACTGTCGCCGCCTGCGCTCAGCAGGTCCCTAAGCAGGCACAGCACTGACAACCCCTGCGATTCCTTCCCTAAGGGGTCACCCCTTCCAGGTGTTGGACCAATGGGTCTTATTTTTCCCCACACTGTGGTGAACTGTTACACCAAGCTTCACAGTGCTTACTCCTTTTCTGTGACTTGGGTCTTGCACTGGATTTCTAGAAGCCTGGAGTCATGTCAACAGGGGCACATAGGCCTTGATTGATGTCTTCCCGACCCTCGCTGGTTTCTCGTATTTACCGGCACCTCCAGTTGTAAGTTCAGAAACCGGGTCTTCTGAGCATGTTTATTTATGCTTAAGGAACCAAGCGGTGCATGGACAGCTGGGGGCTCAGGAGTGATTTGTAATCAGTTTTAAAGTCATGTGGATTGTTTCCATCTCTTTACTCTTTATCAAGTTGGTTCTTTCAAATCAGCCTTTTCCAGGTAACAGAAGAGTATGACTGGGGAGAGCTCCCACGCTGAGACTAGCTCGTTGTGTTTCAAAAATGTTAAATCTCAGTCTCTAAGTCAATAGCACAATTTGGTCACAGTACGCTCCCTTCTGCTGATCACTGGGTGGCCAGGGAGGGGGCATCTGTGAGCCGCAGCAGCTCCGCTGTGAACATGATACACAGGAAAAGGGTACGGCCCCCATGAAAGGAAGGACTGGGCCTTCTTTCTCTTAATCATAGCCAGCATCGTGAAATGCTTTTAAGAAGAGGAAAAGACCAGCTTCCATAAAAATAAACAAAAAAACAAAAACAAACAAACAAAATACTGCACACTAACCACTCTATATGGTACTTTATATAAATCATTTCAGATTCCCCCAATATTCCTATGTCGTAGAAAATATCTCAGTTCTAGATGAAAAGAGACTCACAACTGTTTAGTAAACATCACAAGGGTCTAGAACTTTCAATGCTTTCATTTTACTCATTGTTTCTTTTATTAAGAAAACAAAGAAATATCAAATACTTTTCACTGTACTCTCTAATAAGCATATACTAAAGTTAATGAAAAATAACTACAATAGAGACTGACATGGCTGGCAACAGTTTTATTAATTTTTCTTTTTGAAGGAGAACCATGCTTTTTACAGCACCTGTAAACAAGTCAATGAGTTTTGAGTTTCTGAGTTTTTATATATATAATATATATTTTTTCCAACCACCTCAGAATGTTAGCATACCACACCACCAAACTGCATTACATAATAGTTACTGAAGGCAAATCAGGTGAACCCAAGGGTAAAATTTTATGGCTAAAAATATTCATAGCAGCAACATCTAAAAGATGATTTTATTAAATCAAGTCATTGCACTTGGTCGTTTTATTGCTATAGCAAAACAAGGCTATTACGTTTGTAACACTTCTCATTTCTGATTTTAGCTGATTGTCTCATTCTGTTCATACATTTCAAGTTTAAATGCAAGCATAAAATGTCTGCCAACAATTCTAATGAGCACTGGGTTTTTTATGGTTGTTGTAGTTTTTTCTGTGATCACAGTAAGGAGCATATAAAAAAGAATCATGTGTTACTCCAGGCCCACTTCCTCTTCCTATCTTCAGACTTAAATTTTCTAAAGAAGTTTCAGAATTTTGTAAAGAAGCTTTGTGGTTGCACACACGCACACAAACACTATTCCAAATATTGAAATACAATTAGGAAAATTAGTATCATTGTGTGTTTCAAAGAATAGCAAACCTGAACAATACATTCACAAATAATTTGGCACGGACAGATTCCATGCTATTCACCTCCTGCCTGTCATTATGCTCACTTGTAGCTAATAACAATGATTTACCCTCAAGTAAAGGTTATTATTATTATTATATACCATTTTGTTATAAACTTTATGAACAGGTATTAATAAAATCTCCACATCAAGGACAAATACTGGCAAATTGCTAGATTAAAGTAATCAGTTTTCCCTTTGAATGTTTGTTTGGTTTTCTTTACTTTTTGGTCAAAGGTAAAAAAAAAAAAAATAAGAGACAGTACGTATAAGCAAATATTTTAAAACATATTTCCAGACTCTGGTTAGAAAATGACCAACAGAAACCTTAAGACTAGCCAAAATCTGTGGAAACTCCCCTCCCTCCACCCACCCCATTATTAGGGGGAGGAGGGGTCACATTGATTTTTCCTGACAGAAAGCTGGAGGGCGATTTTCAGGATATATTGTTTTTATTTCTACTTGAGGACTTTCATTAGAAGATGGTCTAACTTATTTAACAAGAAGGTAATCATTCAGTTGACAAGTCATTTAAAAACATTAGAATAGAAGTAAACAATTTTTTTCAGTAGTGACCTCAGCAGAAGAGCCCAAAGACTGTAAAGACTTAAAATATACATACTAAATACAATCAGGTTTGCCCCAAAACACTCATGTAAGTTGTGAATCTAATACAAAGTAATTATATATCAGGATTTCTATTATTTTTGGCTTCAGTTATTTTATTTGAAACAATATGACAAAAATTTCATTAACAGCAGATTTCAGTATTATAAGATCAAAACTTTAAGGAAAAATAATGGTTTGGTGCTTCAAAGTAACATAAAATGGAAGCATGATAGAGAGTACTAAAAATCTGAAAGTCCTTTGCAATAAAAAATCTTAAAATCTAAATATTTTTGCAAATGAAAAATGTCAAATTTCTACTCTTAATATAAAAACTGACATTTTCAGACTATACATATAACACTTTAAAATGTTCAACTGTTCATAAGTGACTGAAGGAATGCTAAATCATCCATTTTGTGAAAATGCATTTTGAATATGGTCAACTGTATTTGGTTTTAAATATGCTACAATTTTATGATATACACTCTTTATAAAGTTGGTTCCTAGATCACAGCCCAAAATATCTCCATCACTTAGTTTGGTCTATTAGGTCAATTAAACATTGTAAAACCTGAGTATCTACATAATAACTTGTCAAAGTTTGAAACCTCACAATGAACTTCTGAAAGTCTTGAGTTTTGTTTACAATAATGAAAAATCAGAGGAAGGGGCATAAAGGATTAAATCACAAGACTGTGAAATGAATAATATATAAGACTGTATAATAAGCAGTAAAGTACAGCAATAAGGCTGGTGTTTGCATATTATGTATGTGCTGTAGTTTCTAGGCACAGGTTAAGGGTTAAATTGACATTTTTAGTTCTTTAGATCCAATGAATTTAAAATACAGCTCATATTTTCCCAAATATATTTGATTCAATACATCTTAACTAAATTCCTTTTATAAATCCTATAGTGCAAACAATATAAAATATTCTAAAAGCAGAAGTTATTTTGATTATTTTTTTAGATATTTACTATATACACGGTGAGTAATCTCGTACATAGCTAGGAAACTCCTATTTTACCACCCAAAATATAAAAAGCACTGCAAACAAACAGGCACAACAGTGTGATCCTGGGTAAGAAGCTAAAAGTAAAAGGAAGGAAAAAAAAAATATAGATATATATATATAGATATATGTATACACACACACACACACACACACACACAAAGTATATATCCCTTATGTATAATGTACGGGGAAAGGAGTGACTATAGTTACTATAAAGCTAATCTGTCCCTCTCAAATAGTATATTTTACAGATTATTTGTAAAGATAACACCATATTTATAGTATAGATCTCTTTAAAAATAATACAAGTTTCAATAAAAAAAACTATTGTGAACTTTCCTTTTTATACAGATTCAGTAGTATTTTCAAGCAAACTAAAAAAGAAGTTTGCAATCCCAGCACATAAGAAATAAGGCCCCTTTTTTCCTCATATTGGCAAAATAAAATATATTAAAAAAATGACCCTTCCCTGCTTTTCTATAGATATTATATTTCATATACTCATATTTTGTTACCAGAACATCAGCATTTACCATTTTTAAATAACAAGTCAATTGAAATAGTGTTGCTTCTGAGTTCCCATATCATTAGAAATACTGGGTCCGTGCCTCTTCAAGAAGACAGGATAGCTTTTTTCAGCTTCTCTATTTCTACCTAAAATACAAAACATAAATTAAGCTGCAGATACAATATCTTTACACCAGTAAAGTTCTTTATTTTATCCTATGTCATTAAGATCTGGTCATACTTTCAAGCCTCTAGATGCTGATTTCTATTCTAAAATTTTCAATTTCCAAAAGTGTGTGCAGACCAAGTTCAGAGAAGGAAACGTCACAATGCAAGTCCCTAAATGGCAGGCGGCAACAACACAAAGCACCTACAGCTGTTTTAGCCAGTGTTTGGAAAAACTAAGAAAATCAGCCCTACAATGAATAAGAACCTTTGAAGCCAAATTAAGAATTATTCACATACCTGTAACTAAACAAAGGGGGCAGTACAGCAAAAATAATAAATACATAAAAGACCAGGTTAGCTCTGCATTTTTCACTTACAACCGACATGATGTTGGTAAATCACTTAACTTCACCTGGTCTTAGTTTTCGTATCTGTACAATTTAAGTTATCCTTAAATCCCAGAAATGCAGTTAAGATTCAATGTATTAGAAATATTTTGACCTGTAGGCACACTGCATCCTACATTTAACAGAAATTTTAAAATTCATTGTTATCCTAATAACTATGGAGTTATGTAATTTTGATATATTATAAATAACTAAGTTGAGGCTCACAAAGAGATTAAATACCATGCCAATGGCTCCACGCTAGCAAGTGCACAGAACTTGTATTGGTGAGGTCTAAGGCTCCACAGTGCAGTTTTTATACTCTCTTCACACTGATAGAATATTTTGATCACCTTTGACCTTCCCTGGCATGTAGAAATATTTAGGCCTTACCACCTACTGATAGCATCATCCCTTCTATCCAACAGTCCATACAAATAATACATGCTCTGGCTAACCTCTGACAAATAAATAGTTCATTAAACAATGAGCATTTTGTCAGTCAAAAACTGTAATTCAGTATGTTCATAATTCCTTAAGGGATTCATTCTAACCATTCAAGAGTGGTTTGCTAATTACAGAATCTTTCCTGATATTATTTTCAGTTAATATAATTATTAAACATTTTAGCAGTACTGGACTGCGACAATTCTTAGTTTTCAGGCTGGATGGAGACAAAATTGCTCAATCATCAGCCTAATGTACTATTATTGTCTTCATTCCAAAGATATATTAACCGATTTTAATGGGAAAGGACACATAGGAATCAGAAAGAAAAAAACACTGGTGGAAGACAGTGTAGGGGATAGATAAAATAATCCTTACACACTGCTATTTATCTCAAGTTCAGATATCAGACAAATACTTATATTGGTAGAGTTTCTCATCTAGTTTTTTTATGCTCATTGTTCATATCTAGTGTTTATCATCATTCTTAAATATAATTTAATATTATATAATGCTAACTTCATAGTAGTTCAAAGTATTACTTTTAATTTTGGGTGAAATATAATTTCTCCTTAAACATAAGACCCTGAAACTGAAATGCCTGAAGAAGAGTGCTTTTACAGACACAAGAGTCAAAACTTTCTTCATTAGAGAAAAAAACGATAGTACAAGTCACTGAGAAACTAACAGCTGATTTGGCTAGAAAAAAACAGAATCAAAGGACTTTCTTCAAAAACAAACAATTCAGGCTCTGGCTGGGTAGCTCAGTTGGTTAGAGCATCACCCCTGTACACCACGTTTGTGGGTTTGATCCCTGGTCGGGCACATACAAGAAGCAACCAATGAATGCATAGATAAGTAGAACAACAAATCAACGTTTCTCTCCCTCTCTTTCTAAAATCAATTTAAAAAAAAATAGTTCCTTTGATTCTTGTCATAATTTTTTCGACAAATCATATAGTGAAACAAAACAGTTAGTTTTTCTTACCTATTATCTTATTTTTATATATGAAAGTAAATGTGTATGCATAAAATGTATGAAATAAAAGCCAAGAAACATTTTTAAAATTTCTCAGTTTCTATCAAGTCACTGGGAATTTAAGACCTTTTTACATGCATCCTCTAACATTTATCAATTTGACAAAAGTTTACTATCTATCTAATATGTACATAGCACTGTGCTAGAAGCCATGGGCAAAGACAAAACAGACACAGATCTTGCCTCCAACGGCCTTACAGCTAGAAGGTTAGGCACAAGAAGTATATAATGTAACAATAATAAGATAAAGATCTTACTTATTAAGCTCTACAAAACCAAAGTACATGAATTTGGAAAAACATAATTTTAATCAGAAGACTGGTACTAACTTAAGGTGATTGAGCTGGGCCTTGAGAATCTGTAGAAATTGGAGCATGAGAAGATGAGACAAAAGAAAAATACAAAAGGTAAAAGTTCAGATGATTAACTGTGAGGCACAATAGAGGATCAGCAAGTGAGGAAAGAAAGAATATCAGGACACAGACACTTGCCAAGTCGAGAAGTCTGAACTTTATTCAGCAATGAATACAGAGTTCTTTAAAGAACTGAGTAAGGAAACACTAATTTGAGATAAGAATGAGAGAAACTTTAGCAGGCTAAACAGAAGATAAAGAGCATGAAAAATAGTGGAAATAAGGAGATAAAAAATGGGACGTAAGGCTAATAGGCCTGAAAAGGAACGAAATCAGAAGAGAACAGAAGTACCATGTCCACTTGCCTGAAAAGGCAAAAAAATCATCAACAGAAACGAATAAGCAGAAGAGCAGGAAAGGAAGATGATACATTTCACAGGGGATAGGCTAAGTCTATCCTCACAGGGGAACACCCAAGGCAAGTAAGAGCTAGAAACCCACAATGGAAACTGGGACAAGGATTAGAATTAGATGAAGATGCACTAGAGCTCAGCATGACAGTCATGAGCTCAGAGAAGCAAGAAAGAATGCAGAGAAAGGAGGACCAAGGACAGTACCAAGGAATACCTCATTTACCTTTTAAGAAAGGAAGAAGTGATGGAGAAGTTAAAGACAGAAAAATGCAGGATCATAAAACCAAGCAAATCCTTGAGAGAGTGGCAATTTCCTTAAAGAAGGGAAAGAGCCAGTAAGAGGATATGTCATATAAGAGTAAGAATATAAGTCTTCTTATATTATTGACTTTTTAGAGAGAGGGAAAAGGGGAGAGAGATGAAAATATCAATGTGAGAGAGAAACATTGATCGGCTGCCTCCTGCACGCCCCCTACTGGGGATTGAGCCAGATACCCGGGCATGTGCCCTGACAAGGAATCGAACCTCCCAAACCCATGGGATGATGCTCAATCCACTGAGCCACACCAGCCAGGCGTGGAATAGAGTTTAGATAATTTACTAAAAACCTTCACATATAACACCACCACAACAAAAACTAAACAAGGTTAAGTGATTTCCTCAAGCTCAAACTATAACTTAATTCCTATGAGCAAAGGTTCTCAAGTCTGGCTGCTTCTGTTAACAATTTCAGCCCTACTGTTGACTTAATCGTTCTAAACCCGCCTCTTCGCCGTTAACACGGGAACAGTAACCCTGACGAGTGGTTACGTGTCTGATGAGATCCTGCACAGAGTGTGAGGCCTCACTGACACATGGTGTAGGGCTGAGTCATAAAGCCGGACGTTTTTAACAGCAAGTCCCATGTCCTCTCCGTGTCACAGTGCTGACAGAAGTGGGTGCCATGAGGCAGGTAAAAATAGGGAACAGGATAAAATAAACACAGAATGGAGACAGCCTCTGGAAATCAGGGCACACCTTCTCTGACATATGCAGACTGCAGTGAAGACCACAGTCAGTGAGGATGGCGAAAGCTCCGGAAGATAAAATGAGCGAACTTGTCGTCAGCAGCACAGCGACGACGATGACATTACAGTTAGAAAGTAAACTCTCCGCCATCCCGTTCCCACCGCCTCGGACCTCAGCACCGCCAGCAAAAGGGGAGGAAAAGGTGGGCTGAGGAGAGAGGACAGAGCTCAGGAAGGAGCGCTGGGTGCAGGGGTCGAGAGCCAGACACTCTCAGGAGGCAGGGACCACGTGCGTTTGTTCTCCCCCTGCCTCGTGCACTGCCACCGAGTCAGTGCTCACAGAGCTGTGCTCAGTCACCGATGGAATGTGAGGGGGCAACAGAGACCCACTAATCGGCCACCCAGCAGCAGGGAGTGCCCAGGGAAGCAGGACGGCATCGTCGGGAGGGAACCAGTCACCGAGCGGGGCTGGAGGAACGCGCCTGCCTCGTGTGAGGGCAACCCCAGTGCTGGAGAAATGAATTACCTCCAGGTTACTTCTCATCGCCTTCTCCTCCTCCAGATCCCTTCGCAGTTTTTCCAGTTCTTTCCTAAAAATAAAGTTTGTATTATTGTTGAGGCTTTTTTTTTTTTTTTCCCTCACCCGAGGACATTTTTCCATTTTTTTGTTCAGGTAGAGTGGGAGGGAGAGAGAGAGAGAGAGAAACATCGATGTGAAAGGAACACATCGAGTGGCTGCCACCCGCACAACCGACCAGGGCTGGGGACAAATTGCAACCGAGGTACGTGCCCTTAGCGGGAACCGAACCCGGGTCTCTCAGGACCGCAGGCCGACGCTCTAACCGCTGAGCCAAACCGGCCAGGGCTTGAGGCTTTTAATTAAATGATACATTTGACTGATGTTACCAGTCTCTCTGTTGCCTGACATCTCAGAACATGGGGAAAACGTTTTAAAGGAAAGAGTCATGTTGACTTAGAAAAATTTCAAAGTCTCTAGATGGAATAACAGTTAATACTCAGCCAGACATGGCACAACTACCTGAAATTTAAAATAAAAATTGTAAGTGACTACAGAACAGCTCATGATAAAATAAAGAAAAGATAACCAGCTTTTAGGAGCAATTTCCCCTGTGCAGTTATCATGCATTTCCCAGGCTAGACACTCTGAGAGCCTAAACAATTTGGCGAAACAAATGTCTAAATATGTTCCAGTATAAGACAAATTATAGTTTATTTAATAAGATAACCTGGACATTACATTTCTCTCTATTAAAAAAAAATCAAACTTTATATTAAGACCCAAACCAAACCAATAAAGTAACTTAAGCCAACAATCCCTCTTCTTTAACGCATGTGTTCATTTTCCTGTGTTCCCGTCTTATCTCTTTATAGTCATTTTCTCTCCATAGCTCTACATATATATTCTATATGTGTCTTTTCACAAAGTATTTTAAAACATTCCCATGCTGCTAAAATTTTCACAATTCTGATGACTACTGTTTGGTATTCAAATACTCAGATTTTTAGTTTGGTTAGTTGGTTTTGGGTGGGGAACAAAGGAAATGGGAGGAATAGTAAATGTACTTAACATCATGAACACATCAGTAGATCAAATTTCTAAATCAAAAAGTGTGGACATTTTCAGCTTTTTGATATACTAGGAAAATTATCAAGAGAATTGTAGAAATAGCTTGAGAAACTGACTGAAAACACTCATGAAGAATACATGAGAAAGGAACTTTTAAATTATATAATATCAAAACAAATTTCTTTCCAAGATTATAAAACCATATTGTAAGTTTTCTGACTATAATTTTTAAAATATTTAATTCAAACTCATCGAAGTTTATTTTGGTATGTGATATAAAATGTACTTCTAGCCCTGGCCGGTTTGGCTCAGTAGTTAGAGTGTCGGCCCACTGACCAAAGAGTCATGGGTTCAATTCCCGGTCAAAGGCACAAACCTTGGTTGCAGTTTGTCCCCGGCCCTGGTTGGGATCTAGTGGGAGGCAACCAGTCCATGTGCCTCTCTCTCCCTCCCTCCCACTCTATCTGAGGCTAAATAGAAAAGAATCCTCGGGTGAGAATTTAAAAAAATAGTAACAACAACTAACCTCCTAGGTTCCACAAAGTTTTCACTAAATAAAATAATGCTTCCTTTTTCCAATTATGCTATTATTCTCAGTTTATTATACATTTAACTTATATCTAAATTAGGATCCACTCCTAGAATATGTACTCTGTTCTTTTTATCTATACATATAACACTGTCGCATTCTTCTAGACATTTGCTTTTTGTTCTGATGATTTAGTACCGCTTCCACATTTTTATTGCTTTTTAAAAACTCACTTACAAATATAAAATTTTTATATAACATTGTTTTCTCTTTACAAGAAGAAGCTCAAACGACACACCTTGCCCTGCAACCTTTCTACTGAAGAATTAGATTAGCAATACACACCTCTGACAATCTTTCACATCACAGTCCCTCAATTTTTAAATGACTTATTCTATGCATTTTAGGTTTTAATACTGAATGCATACAGACTACTTATGTATTTATAAGCTATAAGCATATAATAACAAAGCAAAAACCGAAGAACTGCAAATTAGCTTAGGAAATAAAGTATTATTAGCAGTACCTCTGACACCCAGAAGTGACCCTCCCTCCATAATCCCACTTTCCCCCTCTCCTTCAGAGAACAGTATTCACTGTTCCTTTTCCTCTTTCTAATCCTGCCACATATACATATATATCATGAAACAAAATACTATTTACTGTTGTATGCCTTTCAACTTTATGTAAATAAAATAATACTGTATATGTTTCTTTCTTTTCCTGACCCCATTTTTTATATTAATTCACAGACACATGTAATCACAATTCATTTATTTTTATTGCTGTACACTGTACAGTATTTCTCTGTATCAATATATCTATGGATACAGATATGTATGTGCGTGTATATATACACACACATATCCATTCTCCTGTGATGCTCTTCTTTAAATTACTGCCATCCAATTTTATTTTTCCAGAGAAATTAAAGACTTCTAAAATATCTCATGTTTTAAAATATATATAAATCATATTTTATTTATCCTACAGCAATTTGTATATGTAGTTATTAATTCATTAAACACACTTGGTATCAAAAATGTAAAATTTCAAAAATCAACAAATCAGGAGGGTTCTCGAATACATAGGTGGTGCTCAGTAAATGTTTCCTGGATGAAAGAACTTATAGTGTATAACATGTGTATTGCAGAATCTGTGAAAAATTTGCTAGACTCAGAAGAGACAAACTAAAGGATTCAAGAAAGAGCCATCATGTATCAAATTACAAACGCTCTATATATATGATATAAATGCATACATCATACATGTATTTTTAAGTAGTTGCTCAAGATAAATTTTTATTTGTATCCAAAGGATGTTTATAAAAGTGCTCTGCAAACTACAAATGCATCCTATTATTCATCTCAATATTGTTTTTAATACAGAATCCAATGCCAACTGAGTACTGGGGGAGAAATGGTACATTCAAGCTCAGAGGTAACATGGTCTCTGGTAGTGGCTTTCACACCACGTTCCGTATTCCATGACCTACAGTGAGAAAGGGAAAGAGCACCTAAGCCTCACCCTCAGTTCAGTTAGATTAGCTGATCTTTGATATGTTTTAACTACTGGGCTTTTGTAGAAAACGTCCTTAATTTTCACTCTGAGTGTGTATTACCATATACAACTATCAAAACTGTCAGTGGTAACAGATGGATCTCAGAGATCACCTATCCCAACCCACTGTTTTAGAAATATGCAGCTTGATCCTAGCAGAAACAGCCATCAAAATCCTGAGAAATATACAAAAAGATACATTCCATATTCAACAAACAGTATGGTTTTCCTAATTTTTTTTGGCCTAATTAACCTGTGTTCTGGGCCAGAAAATTTTTAGCCTAAGTATGTCTGTACCTTTTCTATAACTGGGCTATTAGAACAAGTTTTCTAATTCAAGTGATTTGTCACGAGGGGGCAAGTACTATTAATGGAAATTTCTTTGAAAACATACTGGTTTGTACCAGTAACCTGGAAGACTACGTCTTTACTTCATGTAATTTGGAAGAACTCTTCACACAACTGTCAGGTAGTAATCAGAGAAGCAAACAAGGGCTACTTACCCATGATCCTTCTTCAGGGCTTCTATAATGCAGAGCAATTCAAGCATCTCAGTTTTAAGTTCATCCAGGGACAATTTTCCCCCATCATCTGCTTCTAATTTAGCTTTCATTTCTGACAGAGTTAAAAAAGCAGCCACATTTGGTTTTGAAGAACTTGAGGGTGTTGAAAGGTACAGAGATGGCTGAAAATACAATAGAATTTTTGTGATTTTATTTGTATTCAGACTTATAATTAAAGTTCAAAATGTTTTTATAGCAAGATGAATCAAATAATACATCAAGATGAATGGTACATTTTGAAAGACTAAAAGCAGTCTGATGTTCTGATGGAAAAAACCACCACACCAAAGACTGAACTTGTAGTCACTTTTGTGAGAAATAGGAAGGGTTTTGTTTTCTTTTTTTTTAAAAAAAGAAGCCCTGGACAGTATGCTCAGTGGTTAGAGCATTGGCTTATGTACCAAATGGTCACGGGTTTGATTCCCAATCAAAGGCATGTACCTAGGCTGTAGTTTCAATCCCCAGATCTGGTTGGGCCAGTACAGGAGGCAACTGATCAATGTGTCTCTCTCACATTGAGCTTTCTCTTTCTCCTCCTCCCCTCCCCTCCCTTCCCATTCTCTCTAAAAATCAATGGAAAAAAGACTCTCACATGAGTATCTACCAAAAAAAGGGAAAAGAAAATCCATTAGATTTACATTATGTGGTTTGCCTAGTAGAGTATCTAGAAGCAATATAGTCTCTCCCTTATCCACAGTTTCACTTTCTGCAATTTCAGTTAACTACAGTCAACCTGGACGGAAAATATTAAATAAACAATTCTATAGATAACAATTCAAGTTTTTGTTGTTGTTAATCCTCACCAGAGAATATTTTTTCCACTGATTTATCTAGAGAGAATGGAAGGGAGGGACGGAGAGGGTACTTGCCCTTGACCAGGAATCAAACCCAAGACCCTTCTGTCTGCAGGCCAAAGCTCCAACCACTGAACCGAACCAGCCAAGCAACAATTCATGTTTTAAATTGCATGCCATTCTGAATAGTGTGAACAGGCAAACCATTCGAGTTGTCCTGCCCTGTCCTGTCCAGAATGTGAATCATCCCTTTGTCCTGTGTATGCTACTTGTCTGTTAGTCACTAAGTAGCCATCTTGGTTATCAGATCAACTGTCCTAATATCACAGTGCTTGTGTCCAAGTAACCCTTATTTTACTTAATAATGGGCCCATAACATAAGAGTTGTGATGCTGGCAACTTGCATACACTAAAGAGAAGCCATAAAGTGCTTCCCATTAGTAAAAAGGCATATATGTATTAAACAAAAATATTTTATCTATCTATCTATCTATCTATCTATCTATCTATCTATCTATCTATTCTGGTACTAACCACTAGGGGTCTGGGAACAGATCCTCCACAGATAAGGTGAGAATACTGTATCACTATTACGGTACTGTTTTGATCCTCCATATTGAAGTTATTATTTAGAATATCCAAAGAGTTTCACTAATAAGTAATTATGGAGCTTCACTTACAAGTAAGTATAAAGTGGACAAAAAGATATTCAATGAATAGATGGTCTGACACCCTTTTACTAGTTCACTAAAATAACAGCAAATAAAATTTCAATAGACTGCCTGCCAACAGCTGAAAGAATAAGATTAAGTGTATCTGAAATAGCAGCCAAATGTCCTAGAATGAATTTGAGGAAGATGACTTCTTAAACATAAGATGTGTTGCAGTGGTGGGAACACTTCTTTAAATAAAAATGGCAAAGAGTTTATAAAAGGGTCTTAACCCATACAACATATGGAAGAATCCATTTATTCTGTCACTCATTCCAGTATACATACGATACTTATGGTACCAAGCACCAAGCTAGGTAAGAAGTAAACAATGGAATGCTTCTTACCCATGAGTGTATGTTTAATGAAAATAAAGGACGTATAGATCTACGCCTTAAGAACTAGAAATCAGCTTGGCCGGTGTGGCTCAGTGGGTTGAGCATCATGCCATGGACTAAAGGGTCCTGTTTCAATTACCAGTCAGGGCACATGCCTGGGTTATGGGTTTGATCCCCAGCAGGGGACATGCAGGAGGCAGCTGACTGATGTTTCTCTCTCATATCGATGTTTCTATCTCTCTCTCTTCCTCTCTCTCTAAAAATAAAAAGCAATGAAAACATATTTAAAAAAAATAATTTTTAAAAAAATAGAAAACGTAACATTTTTATGTTACTCATTTAAATTAATGTGAGATTTTCTTTAAAGATCTGCAGAGAGCAGTATGACTTAGCTTTAACAATTTTTTTTAGCAGGTATTATTTTATTTCTTGGCAGAATGGACAATTCTTAAAGGACACGTCCAATTACACAGCTTTGATGTTTAAAAAGAATCTTATAAAGTATACATATCTTAGACCACAATGCACAGCTCACCTTTGGAGAGTTGCAAGAATCCTTTTTAAAATCAGATGGCTTTACGTTGGCACTATCTTCTTCTTTGGGTGATTTCAAGATTTTTTCTGGGCTCTGAGTTGGCTAAATGATTTTTTTTTTAAATCAAGAAATTACAATACCAAAGAAGAAAAGTTAGTATTTGGAAAATAAAATAATTTTTATCTCTGTTCTCAGCACCTACTGTCCCAGCTTTCTATTATTATTAACAGGATGTTACATAATTTCAAACTGAATAAGACATTTGTACATCTTGAGGGAAAAACAGGTTCCCTCTTAGCAGTGGAAATTTTCTCTATTTAGGTAATTTAAAAGCAACACAGTGCTTAAGAGCTAATATATTAGCACTAAAGTATTACTATCCCAGGCAATGTATAAAAAGCATAAAAAGATGTTCCACATTTAAATACCAGGATTAGTACTACAGAAATCACTTACTACTTCAAGGAGAAAGATGTTTTCTATCTTTCCTAAAATTAGTATGTACCACTCAACTCTAATTATTGTTTTTGGACGGGCAGATTATACAATACCCTGTGCCCTCTTTTGAGTGCTCTATGGTTATGGTCTCAGGACAACTCTAGTTCTGATTCTGGGACCTTCCATTCCCAGCTCTGTTAAATGAGCAAGATTCCTCACATCCCCTTAAATACAACCATGGGCCACTTGAGTGCAATAGCCACCTTCCTGATTTTCAAACTTTGGTAAAGCTATAAATCCTCCCTCAATCTTATCTTCAGAAGAACTCTGGTTCTGCCACATTCCTTGTTTTTCAACAGTGTAACTCACAGAAAGTCCACCATTGAAGCGGCCAGGCAACCTTCTTCCAGGCATCTTCGGTCTATTTGCAGTGAGATGTAGCAAGTTTTCTGAGGAAGCTATATCATCAAAACTCACAATATCTGGAGAATAAAATTCAATGTATCTACTAAGAGACAACTGTGCATTTTAAAAGGTAAAAAAGTATTTCTGGATTTTAAACAAACTATAAATTAAAGGACCCACAAGTTGACCGGTGCTTTTCATATGCATTTAGAAAACAACACCCTTAAAAACAAACATCCTCTTCACCTGATACATTTTATAGCCTAAGACTTTAGTAACAATATAAAGTTCATGCTTTTAATAGCCTTAGACCACAGCAAAACCGTTCTTCTTGAAAGATATAAATCTATACTTGTCACAAGCTTTTGTCATAAAAAAGCTGTCATCTTAAGTTCTTGATTATAAAAAAAAAAAAGAATTTATTTCAACTCAAATTACAATAGAGAGCAGAAAATTAAAACAAAAAGTTTGCTTTAAACTTCAGGTAGTATCCTGATATTCAAATTTTGAGGATTCAGCTATATCTGGAAGCCTGCAGCTTTCCAGTTGCTTTTTCAATGTAAAGTGGAAGTATAATTTAAGGTCTCTTGGTATATGTATGTATGTCTGTACACAATATAGTGTACCTGGGATGCACACTTTCTAGTTCACTGTACTTCTACTGAGACATTACCATGTTTAGAAATCATAAGATAGTTATAAATCTAAGGCAGACAGGAGGCCAAAGAAAAAGGCTACATCGATCTCCACTTGTTTCCCAAATTATCTAGATTTGTCTTATACCATTATCGAATCAAAGGCTGGTTAACCTTCGATTCGATAATGGTATAAGACAAATCTAGATAATTCATTTCTCTGAAACAATGGTATATAATACCTTCTTCACTTCATTCACATGATCCAGAAAACCTTGCTAATGGAGCTAAACTTTAATTTTGAAGCCCAGGTGTCTATAAATGTACAAGAATAATGTATTCTTAAAGTATAATATGAATAATGTATTCATAAAGTATAATGATACTTCCCCTGTCATTATAAGCACAGATGGCAAACTAGGGATATTCATCACAGTCAAGATACCTGAAATGGCAGATGTCTTTGGCCTAGTCGTCTAGCGAGAATCATCACATTACCATTGCCTGGACGTTCATATGCTTTCTGAAATGCTAAAAATTTCTGTCAAATATTTAGATGTCCTACCTCATTGTTTTGTTATTTTGTAAAAGATTCTAATCATTACTGTCCTCAGCTTATTCATCAATTGTCAAATTCAAATTAATTAGAAAGAAGGACAAAAAGGATAAGGAAGAGGAAGTGGTATCTCTGTTTCGCAATATACATTTTGTGACAACTTTAAATGTTTGCTGACTACTTAATTCTTCTCTACCTTCACATTCCAGATTACTTTCTGTGTTCTATTTATAACTGGTCACTAGGTTAATACAACACAACAGGTAATCTAATGTGCTCAATTTAATTATTATCTTGAGTCATTCAATAGCTGTCTATAAGTAATTATAAAATATAACAAACTATAATAAGAAACACAATGGTTTTAATGGAAAAGGAGATCATGAATTTATATATTTAAATATTTCATTTTATCTGTAAACGTCACCAACAAAGTAAATAATCAGTATTTTTTAAAATGTTAAAAACACACTGTAGTTTAAAGATGAAAAATTGCTTTTTACACTAATGTTTATTGACAATATAAAAAAAACCTTGGAAAGTATAATCTAATCATTTTGGCACATGGAAATTATTTTCAAATGCATATTTAAGCAATTTGCAGAAAGAAAAAGAAATAAACAGAAAAACATCGGAAGGGATGAAGACAAATGAAATTGAAAGGGTAAATAAAAGGTAGATTTACAAAACTGTACATCATGCTCATGTAAAAAGGCCTTTCTTTCTGTATTTTTTTTTTTTTTTGGTATGTGTCCCTAGCGGGAACCGAACCCAGGACTCTCTGGTCCACAGGCCGATGCTTCAACCCCTGAGCCAAACTGGCCAGGGCAAAAAAGGCCTTTCATATGTCCAGTTTTGGGCTACGACATCAACACAAATAATTTTACTATTCTAAAACTCTCTCAGGTCCTCCATTTAAGACATTAGGTAAGTGAAGTGAAACAGTGCACATTTTGGACTCATGATATACTTGAACACTTTTAAGTGACAACAACAGGTTTAGACTGCACACATGGCAGGAGGCATGGCGACCACTGCACTTTGCAATTATACTGTCACTCTGCCAGCCTTTCACGAATCTCAATATTGCCTAAGAAGACATGGAGTTTTTAAAAAATCACAATGAAATATCAAATTTGAGGAGGAAAAAAAAAATGACTTTTATGGTTTTCAATTCAATAAAAAAATGTTTCAGTATCTTTAATCAGGAAAATTTTTCCAACATGAATTTCATTTTATTTTAAAATGGAAAACCAAAGGGTTAGAATAGACAGACAAACACATACACTTTTAGTAAAATTACCAAAAAAAAGTCAATGTGCACCACCTATTTATACCGAATATACTATTTTGATTTCTTTTATAAATTGTTATCTTACCAAAATGGAGAAAGGTAGAATAATTTCCTGACACGTAAGAAGGGAAACATGGCAAACAGGCTAGGAAACAAAATCTGGAAAGAAAAGTCAAGGATAGAAATGTCTAGAAAAAAGACTAAACAAAAAAAATTATTTTACAAAGCAGGAAAAAGGAACATTTGTAGAACGAATAGAACCACTCCATATACCTATTACAAATCACCTAACTTACAGAAGATGCATATTGTATTTCAGATTTTTTTCTTTTGGCTTTCAAAGGGAAAACTACAGTGAGTGTAAATTTCAATAGGCATTTAACTAGATAGAAGCATTTTTTGCTACTCACTGAACACTAAGACAGTTTCCAAAGGATGTTTTAGTATTAACTCATTAATATAGTTGTAACTAAAATTAAACTACCTTCCAGTTATGTTTTAGTCTTCAGCAGGATAGTAAATGAGAAAATTTTAATTCTATGATCTAATAAAGAAAATCTATACTAATTATTTTTAAATATCTCACTATAAAAATGCAACTCAGTACAACACTTAAAATCTCATACATATATAAATGAAAATTCAATAATGTCTTATGATACTCTCTAGAATGACAGAATGACATCAAGGAAATTATTAGAAAACACAAATTTTAATCTCTGTTCTTATCCCTGGTAAACTCTACATTTTGGAGTGTGGTGATTTATACTGTTTTTGTATCCTAGTTCTAATAAGGCTCATATTTTAGTGTCTACCACTCAAAAGGTAGGTGTCTTATTACAAAAATTGTACCATAAATCTTTCTGGAAGAAATAAATGAATACATATTGGGAAAGTAATTCAAACGAAAAAAGATCAACTATCAAAAAGAACTGAAGAGCCCTGGACGGTTTGGCTCAACGGTTAGAGCGTCGGCCTGTGGTCCGGAGAGACCCGGGTTCGGTTCCCGCTAACGGCACGTACTTCGGTTGCAGTTTGTCCCCGGCCCTGGTTGGTCGTGCGGGTGGCAGCCACTTGATGTGTCCCTTCACATCGATGTTTCTCTCTCTCTCTCCCTTCCTCTCTCTCCCTCCCATTCTATCTGTACAAAAAATGGAAAAATATCCTCGGGTGAGGATAAAAACAACAACAAAAAAAAAAAACTGAAGAGAAAAAATGATTCCCTATTTAAAAATAAAGACTTGTGATAAAATCATGTATGTTATTTCTAAAATTTCCTTTTAACCCAAGAAGAATTTACCACAGAAAAACAGTTCAAAACGATAACTACAATCTAAGAATACTGCATCAGCTGTGCTTTCTCAATAACACAGTTACGTTACCGCCAAATTTTCTATATTTTAAAACTAATTGTAAATCAATTTTACTTCTTGGAAAATTAACTATTTTAAAAATAGTTAGACTACGTAAACTTTATAAATAACCAGTAGTGGCAGTGAGAATATCTAACCAATAACTGATGAAGTGTTTGAAAAACCAATTAAAACATGGTTGTAACAGCTCTACAATTTGTAGTATTATTTTATATCAAATGAGAGATTATATACAAACGTTTCAAAAGAAAGAAAAATAAAACCAAACTGACTGTTCTAGGAATGTTTTTCTTATATGTGCAAAAGTCAGAGCCTGTATTTATATATATAAAGTGTTTTATATGTCTTTATAAACAGGAAAACCCTATCTAAAAGTAGAATCAAGAATTTACATTCTTTACAGATAAGAGCAGAAACAGAATGGGATGGGATTAACAATGGAGGAGTGGTGCAGAAGGGAAATAACTTTTTATACCAACTTCCATGTCCGGCATTCTAACAAGTATCATAGAAATTTGGGCTATTCAATTGTTAGTTGAGGAAGAAAATAGACTAATAGAAGAAACATGCCAGAAATGATCATCAGCTAATAACTGACTACCCATTTTTTACAGCAAGGTCAGTGTACTTTCTACTATATCGTTTCACTTGAAATTATTTATTACTTTACATAATGATAAAACTCTAAGGAGATTTTTCTATTTTTTAAACTTTCTGAAACTTATGTTAAAGGGCTAGACTGATAATGACGTTTAAAAATTTTTAAACCTCAGTCCTGGCCGGTTTGGCTCAGCGGTTAGAGCGTCGGCCTGCAGTCCGGAGAGACTTGGGTTCGGTTCCCGCTAAGGGCATGTACTTCGGTTGCAGTTTGTCCCCGGCCCTGGTTGGTCGTGCAGGTAGCAGCCACTCGATGTGTCCCTTTCACGTCGATGTTTCTCTCCCTCTCTCTCCCTCCCACTCTGTCTGTACAAAAATTGGAAAAATGTCCTCGGGTGAGGATAAAAAAAAAAAAAAAATTTTAAACCTCAAACTGAGCCAAAAATACAATTTAAAATATTCTTCAGCCTCATGCCAAATTTGAGGCTGTATCTGATGCAGAACAGTTTCTGAAGAAGAGGTAAAACACTCTTCTGCTCCGTGTACTACGAACACCTGCTATTCTGATGCAAAGGAAACGAGGAGCAGCCGGAGCCGAGTCTGAGACCAGCACGTGCTGTGGGCAGTACGCCGTCTCTGCGGACACAGTGCTTGTGCCTGAAACAGTACTAAACACTTCTTAGTAAATATCTGCCACTTAAGATGAAGTCAAGTTCCAAAATTTATATTTTTTGAACTTTACAGGGATTAAGTGTGGTATACCAAGGGCAGCTGACAGCAGAAGGAATAAAGGATAGCAGCTTGAAAGTCAGCTGTTCATTTCTTGACCATATATAAATCTCAGCATCTTTAAATTGCTCACTTATTCATTTGACTAAAAAAAAAAAAAAGAAATTAGAAAATTTCAAAACCCTGTTCCACAAAGCCTCTTTGGGTTTTTTGTTTTTTTTTTATCCTCACCCGAGGATATTTCTCCATTTATCTTCAGATAGAGTGTTAGGCGGAGAAAGAGAGAGAGAGACACATCAGTGTGAGAGAGACACACTGACTGGTTGCCTCCTGCATGACCCCAGCCAGGGCCAGGGACCAAACCGCAATCGAGGTACGCGCCCTTGACCAGAATCGAACCTAAGACTCTCTGGACCATGGGCCGATGCTCTAACCGCTGAGCCAAACTGGCCAGGGCAGCCTCTTTGGTTTTTAATGAAGACTGGAAATACAGTAGAAATTGGGACCAAAAACAAAGTAAAAAGTAGAACTTTTCAACCACTAATACTTCTACACTGTTTACATGTCATTTATACTAGAAATGTAGCAAAGTAAACAAAATTTACTGGTGATTGTATATAGAAAAAGTTTTGAAAGACTAAAAATGGTTTTTATTAACTTCAAATTTTTTTGCAATTTCTATGACCTTGAGACAACCAAATAAAGAAAAATGTGCAAGAATGACACAAAGTAACAGAAAATATATAGGTTCTAAATATTACTCCTTCGGCTCCCAAAATTTAAGACTTCTGATAAAGATCACAGATAGTTGTGGAAATTAGAAGGTAATACCCATGAATTTTTTATTTCCAGACTTAAAACCCAGCACATCTATAATTCTCCAACCCTTACTTTTGAAGACACATTTCTAGTTATATTTTATACCAAACAGAAAATAATAAGAACTGACAGAATTATATTTTTACCAGTAACCTCAACAAAAAACAATATTTTTTAAAAACACAAAGAGGATTTGATTTCCTTTAACAATAAATGCAAATAATTTTCATCAGATCAACATATTAAATATATTTGAATGAATGCCTCTAAAAATACAACCAACATCCCAGATTTCAGAAATTATTAATGAATATGGCTTCATCCACAGTAGGCAGGATACAAAATACACGATGAAAGAATCTATAAAACATTCAAATTTTAAAAACTACGGGAGCCCATGTCTAGGTCAGAGCTTTGGTATTGGCAAACATAAAAGAGGAAAGGCAAATAAAATCACCTGAAAAATTTTGAAAGGTACCAAGTACATTTTCCAATATAGTGACAAAAATAAATAAAAGAAAAAATCTAAGTGTAACTGACCTTGAGTTAACATTAACACTGAAATTAAAAAATGTATCTAAAACATTACAATTTTAAAAAGTATTTCATAGAGTATTTCACATAAAGGGGATTTAAAGAGGTTTCTTCTGGTTTATGTGATCTTGAACATTTTCTGCATCTACAGCTTACTTTGTTTACATGCAAATTAGGAAAATTAGTATCTGCCTCTTAGAGTTACTGTAAAGATAAAATAAGAACATATACGAGCCCTGGCCAGTTTGGCTCAGCGGTTAGAGATCGGCCCGCAAACCAATGACGCGTGGGTTCGATTCCGTTCAAGGGCACATCCCTTGGTTGCGGTTCATCCCCAGCCCTTGTAGGGGTCATGCAGGAGGCAACCAGTTCATGTGTCCCTCTCTCGCTGCTGTTTCTCTCTCTCTCTCTCTCTCTCTCTCTCTCTCTCTCTCTCTCCCTCCCTCCCTCCCTCCCTCCCTCCCTCCTTCCGATTCTATTGGAAGATGAATAGAAAAATATCCTCAGGTAAGGATGGGGAATAAAAAGAAAGAAAAAAGAACATATATGAGCCTGGCCAGTATGGCTCAGTGGTTGAGCGTTGACCCATGCACCAAGAGGTCGCCAGTTATTCCTGGTCAGGGCACATGCCCAGATTGTGGGCCAAATCCCCAGTGGGGGGCATGTAGAGGCGGCCAATCGATGTTCTCTCTCATCAATGTTTCTCTCTCTCCCTCTCCTGTTCTCTCTCTCTAAAATCAATAAAAGAAAAAAGAAAGAAAAAAAAAGAACATATATGAGAAAGTGCTTTGAAAATGTAAAAAAAAACTAACAGCTAACTCGAGGTACGATGCCATGACCATTACTACAAAGTAACGAGTGTGCAATGCTGTAATAACCTTTATTAAGACTTCCTTCATTTCAAGTGTTACTTTTTGGAACTAAAAGTATAAAAGACTGGAGACTAACAAAGATGATTAATGGGCTGAAAAAAATCATTCCAAAAAGTTAATGAACATTTAACTAAAGAGGTAAAGTCAGCTGATATGTAGAAAGAGACTAAGTCACAAAAAGCCTATTTGCCAGAATTGGAAACAAAAGCACATTGAGATTAAGCAGAAAATAAAGTTTTAAATGTAATCTAGTGCTGGCACTAAAAGTCTACATCACCTGTTTATTTTTAAACTTTTAAAACTAAAACACTTTCATATGTGCCTGACTTAGGTGGTATGATCATTCTATTTTGAAGGAATAGGACAATAAATGGATGAACTCTTAATATCCATCTCAGTCCTATGACCAGTAAGAAATCTTAAGTGAATCATAACTATCCTACCCATTTATCTTCTTTTATATTTTTCTGTTTTGGTTTTATAGATTTTAAACTAATTTTAATTAAATTCCACTGTATCTGTCCACACACAAACTGCATATACAAATTTCTTATTTTAAATAATTTCTGAAAACTGTATCGGCAACTTTTAAAATGTACCACCTTTCTACACATTAACTTACCTGTTTCTTTAAAGCTCCTAATTGTAAATGAATCTAGGTCTACTGATTTTGGTCTAAGTGGTAACTGTTCAGAATCTAGCTTTGGTTTTGATACTGGCTCAGTTTCAGATTTTGATGAAATGGCAGACACTTCCCCATTAACCCTGAAATGAGAAAATCAAAAGGAGACAAATCATTGTATGTGAAACATTACCATTTCTAAAATTTTAATTTAATGACATTAAATATGTTACAGCATAATACTGATTTTTCTTTCTGTTCTATAAAATGATTTTCATAAATACTGACCTCTACCCTAGAACTAATCCCAATAAAATCAGAAATGTAAAAACAGCTTAATATGAGTATATTCACCAATGTGAATATAAGATTAACATTTAACAGATAATTATTAAAGTCTATAGAAAAAAACATGGAAACCAAATACTTCAAACATTTGAGATTCAGAAAGGCAGTAGAGCCATTGATGTCAAAGGCAAATAAATTAACTTAAAACTAAGTAAAACTTACCTGGCTACAGGTGGTGGTGGAGGAACTGGTTTCTCAGGTCGCTTTGGGTACACGGTTCCAGAAGATCTCAATAAATTATTGGCTTTGGTGGGTGGATTAGGCTTCTTGGGTGGGACTTGTGGAGCAGCTGGTTTAGAAGGTTTCTGTTCCAGCATGGATTTTTCATCTGATTATTTAAAAATATGTAATAAGTTATTAACAATGGGAACTGTTCTTCTATGGCTTAAAGCTAATGTCAGGTTGGAAAAGCATGAAACAGAGAAGAGAGACATTATTTGTGTATGTGCACTGTTTTATGTTTTAAAGTTATCATTTAACAAGCCTAAATATTTTTAAAAGTTTACTTTGCACTTAGGGGTGGTATTCTACTCAAATATAACCACTCATGATTTTAATCTAAACAGAGAAAAAGATTATCTAGACCTAAATCCAGACCACTTTCTGAAAATGAAGTAGAGGGAACTGTAAACAAGTAGGACTTCTGGTGTCATCTAACACAATTATTTTGAAATAATCATGATGACAAAGAAAGAAATCAGATGTTAAGAGAAACTGAGGCTAAACTGATTAGCCAAAGATGAGAAAATTATAGGCTAATATTCATAATTCTCACCTTGGTATTAGGAATTTTATTAACATTTCAATTAATAATTCTATGAAATAAAAAGAAAAGTATACTGGACAAAACAACGTTCAGGGCAATTTTAAACCATGGTAAGAAAAACAATTTTACCAACAAAAGTGCATGGTACCATACACAAAGACATACTTGGCTCCTGATCTCTCAGGAACTAAGAATAAGTATTAAATCCAACACACACACACACATATTATATATTTATTACACAGCAGTCAGCAAAAAATATGTTATAAGGCATATATGCAAAAATAAGAAACTCCTAAGTACAATACTGAGTACTTTTCAAAATTTACTTGGTTTTTGAAAACAGTCTACTTCAGGACCACAAATTATTTCATGAGCTTTCACATCAATCAGAAACTTGGTGATAATGAATCTAGAACAAACAATGGGCAAACCACTCATTCAAAATCACTGAACAACAATGAAAATATAAAATATCATTGTTTCAGTTTTATCATATATACATAGCTTCCTTGGATCATTAAACCTTGGTCATCCAAATTTAAATTTCTATAAAATACTTAAAAATATGTTTTATAGGCCTGGCCTGTTTGGCTCAGCAGTTAGAGCGTCACCCCTAGACCAAGGAGTCGTGGGTTCGATTCCGGTCAAGGGCACGAACCTCAATTGTGGTTTGTCCCCGGCCCTGGTTGGGGTTGTGCAGGAGACAACCAATCAATGTGTCTCTCTCACACATCAATGTTTCTCTATCTCTTCCTCCCACTCAGTCTAAAAATAAATGGAAAAACATATCCTGGGTGAGGATTAAAGGATAACAAATAGAAGTCCACTAACTGACTATACTATTTAAAAGATATATAAATAACAGCTTGAAATCAATCCAGTTTCATAGTTTATTGAAAAAGACATTTAAGCCTAGCCAGTGTGGTTCAGTGGATTGAGGGTCATCCCATGGACTGAGAGGTCCCAGTTCAATTGCCGATCAAAGCACATGCCTGGTTGTGGGCTCAATCCCCAGTAGGAGGGCAAGCAGGAGGCAGCCGATCAATGTTTCTCTCTCACATTGATGTTTCTAACTCTCTTCCTTCCTCTCTGGCTAAAAAAAAAAAAATCAATGAGAACATATTTTAAGCTCTGGCCAGTTTGGCTTAGTGGTTGGAGCGTCGGCCTGCGGACCAGAGAGTCCCGAGTTTGGTTTCCGCCAGGTGGATGTACCAAAAAAAAAAAAGTTCTTAAAAACACATTTTAAGAAAAAAGACATTTAATATTCATGGAAATCAAATGTAACAAAAATAAGATTAATCACCCATGGTATATCTATGATTAAATCAACTATAGTATATTGATTTATTATATAACTAATATATGATGGCAATGTATTCGTGGCTATTCAATACCATTAACTGTATTTCTGGGCTTTCCTTTTCTTAATTTGTAGGAGAAAAAATATACATATATATGAATAATAATTTGTCACTTATCTGTTGTAAATATCATTTTATATCATTTCCTACTCAGTGACATTTTTCATCCTCCTAACGATGTCTTTATAACAGATATTTCCTAATTTTAATGTAGTACAATCAATCTTTTTCCTTATACTAGGTTAGCCTATTGTGTCTTGTTAAAGAAATCCTTCCGACTTCCGGTCAAGATGGCGGCGTAGGTAAACTCAGTATCGCGTCCTCCCACAACCACATCAAAACTAAACTAAACTACAACTAAACCAAAGAACAACCATCATTCAAAACCGCGTGAAATCAAGCTGCATGGAAGTCCTACAACTACAGAATTAAAGCAGCAGCCACATCGAGACTGGTAGGAGGGGCGGAGGGGACGGGCTGGTCCCACACCCACGTGTGGCGGGTAAAAATCAGGAGAATACCTCGGCTGGGAAGGTCCTCCCTGAGGACTGGGGGGTCGCCATCCCACACCAGACACCCTGCTCAGGGTTCCAGTGCCAGGAAGAGAAGTCCCCATCACTTCTGGCTGGAAAAACCAGCGGGAACTGAGGCTCAGGGAGGCTGACTCAGCTGGAGCCCCAGGCAGCTCCTCTTGAAGGGCCCGCGCACGGACTTGGCAGACTCGGCAGACTCACTCCTTCTAAGCTCGAAGGGGAGGCAGCTCGAAGGGCGCAGAGACATACAGGGAAGAACTGAGCTGTTTGGCATTAAAGTGCGGGCTTTCTCTGGGACAAACGTGCTGTCAGAGGCCTTTGTTCCTTTGGTCAGCCCTTCCCTGGGGTGGCAGACAGAAGCCATATCTGGGACTCCAGCAACCTGGCTCACACTGGTAGCCCCGCCCTGCTGACTCCCTGAGGCCCCGCCCCGCCCAACTTTCAGGCCCACCCAAGCTGTTGCCAGTTGCTTCACCAAAGGATTGGCCTGTCTTGGATCCTGCTTCAGGTTTTCCTAAATTACTTCAAACAAGCAGCATCTGGTCTTAGATAACCCCATACCTCTCGTTAAGTAATACACAGAAACAAACATAGGGAGGCAGCCAAAATGAGGAGACAAAGAAACAGGTCCCAAATGAGAGAACAGAATAAAACCCCAAGAAAAGAACTAAGCGAAATGGAGATAAGCAACCTCACAGATGCTGAGTTCCAAATACTGTTTATAAAGATGCTCAATGAACTTAGTGAGAACCTCAGTGAACTTAGTGAGGGCCTCAAGAGCATAAAAAAGGACCAGTCAGAAATGATGGATGCACAGTCAGAAATGAAGGAGGCATTAACTGAAATAAAGAATAATTTACACAGATTCAGCCCTGGCCAGTTTGGCTCAGCGGTTAGAGTGTCGGCCTGCGGTCCGGAGAGACCCGGGTTCGGTTCCCGCTAAGGGCGCGTACTTCGGTTGCAGTTTGTCCCCGGCCCTGGTCGGTCGTGCGGGTGGCAGCCACTCGATGTGTCCCTTCACATCGATGTTTCTCTCTCTCTCTCCCTTCCTCTCTCTCCCTCCCACTCTATCTGTACAAAAAATGGAAAAATATCCTTGGGTGAGGATAAAAAAAAAAAAAATTTACACAGATTCAATAGTAGAGTAGGTAAATCCAAGAAGCAAACCATCCATTTGGAATATAAGGAAGCAAAAAACGCCCAATCAGAACAGCAAAAAGAAAAAAGAATCCAAAAAAATGAGGATAGTGTAAGGAGCCTCTGGGACAACTTCAAGCGTGCCAACATTCGCATCTTGGGGGTGCCGGAAGGAGAAGAGAGAGAACAAGAAACTGGAAACCTGTGTGAAACAATAATGGCAGAAAACTTTCCTAACTTGGTGAAGGAAACAGACATACAAGTCCAGGAAGCACAGAGAGTCCCAAACAAGATGAACCCCAAGAGGCCCACACCAAGACACATCATCATCAAAATGCAAAAGGTTCAAGACCAAGAGAGAATCTTAAAAGCAGCAAGAGAAAAGCAGTTAGTTACCTACAAGGGAGTTCCCATAAGGCTGTTGGTTGATTTCTCAAAAGAAACTTTGCAGGCCAGAAAGGAGTGGCAAGAAATATTCAAACCTGTCATTTAGAATCGATGGCCATATAAAGAATTTCCCAGACAAGAAAAAGCTAAAGGAGTTCATCACCACCAAACCGTTATTATATGAAATGATGAAGGGTCTTTTTGAAGAAAAAGATAAAATATATGAACAAACAAAATGGCAATGAATACATATCTATTGACAATGGAATCTACAAACAAAATGAACAGGCACAACAGAAACATTCTCCTAGATACAGAGAACATTTTGTTGGTTGCCAGATGGGAGGGGGTTTGGGGAATGGGTGAAAAAGGTGAAGGGATTAAGAAGAACAAATTGGTTGCTAGACTGACTAACCTCAAAAAGAAGGGTTTGGCGGGGTGGGAAGAAATAAACCAAAGAACTTATATGCATAACCAATGGACACACAACAGTGTGGGAAAAGGTGGGAGGGGGGGTGGCAGTGGGGAAGAGGGGGTCAATGGGGGAAAAAATGAGGAGCATCTGTAATACATTCAACAATAACGATTTAAATAAAGGACATTCTAAATTAAGAAAGAAAAAAAAAGAAATCCTTCCTACTCCAAGGACATAGAAATACTTGCTTATATTATCTTGTAGAAAATTCAGACCCACAATCAACACGGAATTGATTTTTTTTTAATTTTTTTATCCTCACCTGAGGAGAGAGAGAAAAACATCGACGTGAAAGGGACACATAGAGTGGCTGCCACCCACACGACCAACCAGGGCCGGGGACAAACTGCAACCGAGGTACGTGCCCTTAGCGGGAACCGAACCCGGGTCTCTCTGAACCGCAGGCCGACGCTCTAACTGCTGAGCCAAACTGGCCAGGGCTTTTTTTGTTGTTTTTAATCCTCACTAGAGGATATTTTTCCATTGATTTTTAGATAGGGTGGAAGGCAGGGAGGGAGGGAGGGAGAGAGAGGCATGTATGTGAGAGTGACACATCGATTGGTTGCTCCTGCCTGACCCTGACCAGAGCCAGTGATGAACCTGCAAACCAGGTACATGGCTTTGACCAGGAATCGAATCTGAGACCCTTTGGTCTGTGGGCCAACA